TGCTACCAGAGCTCCCAATATCAGCAATCATTAGATTGCTTTAAAGACCTCAAGGAGAGAGACTTATTGTGCATTAAAACGCTACATACCATTAGAGGACAAGGTGTAAATTTTGAGAATAGGGGAAATGGAAATGAAAAAGGGAGCAGCATCAACAATTTTTATATTAAAATTATTTGCTTGTGAACAAGGAGGTTATCATATTCTTGGTTTGATTAAATTAAGACCAAAAAAAGGGTGTGTAGGTATGTGTTGGGATGGAGGTAACAGGAGGTGCAAGGATTGTGGATGCTGGAAGGAACAAGGAGATATATTAAGAAGATAGAAAATATATTTGAAATAAACTTCTTCTAATTAACAGTTTCTAGAGGGCCAGCTCCCTTCCTTCACATTGGTGACGACATCAGGGATTATGGAACAATAATACAAATTAAGTAGGAAAATCAGAGGATAGCTACTATATAGGCTCAGCTATGAGTCTCTCCCTGGATAGTGGGCCCAAACTAAATCCAAACCCATTGCTGTCAAGTGGATTCTGAGTCAGAGAGACCCTATAAGACATACTGCTACATGTTTCTCCCATGGAGTGGCAGGTGGGTTACAACAGCCAAACTTTTGGTTAGTAGTTGAGTGCTTTACCCTCTGAACAATGAGAGATCCTTGATAATGGGCCCAGGAATTTCCAAAGGAAATTGTACCTATGCTACAGCAAATGGATATTAATAATAGTGAACTCCACTGAAAGGTCTTTCTTAACATAGTAGACACAAGTGTGTAGGAGAAAAATGGCATAGATTAAAACTTCAATCTATATCAATATTTTAATAAAGCTGACATTAATGATTAAGAACTCCTTTTAAGTGAGTGGCTTTTTAAATATGCTCAAGTGCACATCATTTCAGACACAAAATCCAAATATAGATATTTTAAAACACCCAGTTCTGATTTGCTATTTTATTGTAGTTCTTAAGAGGCACTGGGTGTAAACAGTTAACACATTTAGCTGCTAACTGAAAGGCTGGAGGTTTGATTCTATCCTGAGATACCTCCAAAAAAGTCTGTCAACCCACTTGTGAAAAATCAACTATTGAAAACCCAGTGTAGCACAGTTCTACTCTGACATAACGTGAGGTCCAGCGCTCAATGGAGTTGAGTTGATGGCAACCAGTCTGGAAGTTAAATAACTTCCCATGTGCATATTGTTGTTGTTGTTATGTGCCATCGAGTAGGCCCCGACTCATAGCGACCCCTCCTTGGGTTGCCGAGGCAGTATCGCTATGGAAGGAACAAGGAGATATATCAAGAAGATAGAAAAGATATTTGAAATAAACTTCTTCTAATTAACAGTTTCTAGAGGGCCTTCCTTCCGAGGAGTGGCTGGTGGGTTTGAACCGCTAGCCTTCTGGTTAGCAGTCAAGTGCTTTAGGCACTATGCTACCAGAGCTCCTTCCCATGTGCATACTGCCTACCAGTTCTTCATTTTTACTTAATTTCTGTGAGGAAACTTAAGAAAGGGAAGATAGTGTGATTTGGAGCAGGCCACAGAAAATATCCTGGATCTACGTCAAGTAGAGAGAAAATGTTGTTGTTTGTTATTAGGTACTCTTGAGTTGGTTCTGATTCATAGTGACCCTATGTAACAGAAGGAAACACTTTCCAGTCCTGTAGCATACTTCTAATTGTTGCAACACTTGAGCCCATTGCTGCAGCCACTGTATTAATGATCTCACTGAGCGTCTTCCTTTCTTTACCAAGTATGACGTCCTTCTCCCAAAACTGGTCCCTCCTGATAACATGTCCAAAGTTCATGAGACAAATTCTTAACCATCCTTGCTTCTAAGGAGAATTCTGCCTTCCAAGATAGATCAGTTCATTTTTCTGGCAGTCTGTGATATAATCAATACTATAATTTAAATGCACCAGCTCTTAGTCTTCCTTATTTATTGTCCAGCTTTTGCATGCATATTAGGCAATTGAAAATACCATGGCTTGGGTCAGGCACATCCCAGTCATCCAAGTGACATCTTTGCTTTCTAAGATTTTAAAGATGTCTTTAACAGCAGATTTGCCCAAAGCAATATTATTTGATTCTTTTTTTGTCTGCTGCTGCCATGGGCTTTGATTGTGGATCCAAGTGAAATGAAATCTTTGACAACTTCAGTATCTCTGATTATCATGATATTGTTTATTGATTTAGTTGTGGGGATTTTTGTTTAGGTTGAGGTGTATTCCTGAATACATAGTGAAGACTGTAATCTTTGATCTCCATCAGTAAGTGCTTCAAGTCCTCTTCACTTTCAGCAAGCATTTTACACTTGCTAATGGTTAATATGTCTTCTTCCAATCCTGATGCTGCATTCTTCTTCATTTAGACTAGATTCCCCGATTATTTGCATACAGATCAGCATACAGATTGAACATGTATGGTGAAAAGATACAACCCTGATGCACACCACACAGCATCCCCTTGCTCTGTTTGAATGACTGCTTCTTAGTCTATGTACAGATTTTGCATGAGCACTATTAAGTATTCTGGAATTTCCATTCTTCAGAATGTTATCCATAATTTATTATGATCCACATCTTTGCATAGTCAATAAAACAAATGTAAACATCTCTCTGTTATTCTTTGCTTTCAACCAAGATCCATCTGACATCAGCAGTGGTAACCCTCATTCCATGTCCTCTTCTGAATCCAGCTTGAATTTCTAACAGGTCCCTGTCAATTTATGGCTGTAGCTGTTTTAGAATTACCTTCAGCAAAATTTGCTTGCATGTGATATTAAAGATACTGTTTGATAATTTCTACGTTCTGTGGATTCCCTTTCTTTGAATGAGAATGAACATGGTTCTCTTCCAGTTGGTTGGCCAGGTCTTCCAAATTTCTTGGCATAGAGGAATGAGCACTTTGACTGTTGCATTCATTTGTTGAAGCATCTCAATTAGTTTCTCATTAATTCTTGCAGCCTTGTTTTTTACCAATGCCTTCAGTGCAGTCTTGATTTTTAATTCTGTTCTTGATAATCTACCTCCTGAAGTGGTTGAATATCAACTAATTCTTTCTGGTACCGTGACACTGTGTATCCCTTCCACCTTCTTTTGATTCTTCCTGTGGTGTTCAATATTTTCCCACAGAATCTTTCAATATTGCAACTTGAGTCTTGAATTTTTTCATCAGTTCTTTCAGCTTGAGAAATGCTGAGCAT